TAAAATCTTCTTGGAATAGGTTCAAGAACTTGGAATTGAGAGTACTCCTTGTTTAAGGAGGTGACATGAGACCTGGGGTTATACCCCAAACACAGGTAAGTCTTTGCATGGCCAAAACACCGGAAGCTCTACATGATTATGCACTTGGTGGGCTCCGAGCCTTAGAAATGGGTAAGCCTTTGCATGGACAAAGCATTTAAAATCTTATTCGAAACATGATTCCTCTCAGAGACGGATTCAAGAACTAGCATTGGGGTGTACTCCTTGCTCAGGAAGGTGACGCGAGACTCTAGGTGAGACCCTCGACATGATGTCGTATAGCTATAGGAAAAAGAACTGACCCAACATCAACATGCATGTCCGGAGATTAGATATAAATATTCTAGCAAGCAAAATTTTAGAGAATCTTGAATCATCTAACCACGGGCTTAGTACATTCAATACTCAATTTCACAAGACAAATTTATTTGGGTCATTTCTAAGGGCCAGTGGTGGGTCTTCCTCGGACAACGTCTCGCGATCATTTTTTGGGATACAGTTATTGTCCTTCTCGGGATTCAAATATTATTATCTTTTTTGGATGTAACTGAGGTTCAGTTATGGTCATCTTATTCAGGACTCGACTCTCTCAAGCGACATCTTATGGTTATATTTGGTATTTTGTTATCTATCCCCTTAAAAAGGCATTTCAATAATGTTTTGCTCTCTCTGGCAGCATCTTATGGTTATGCTTGGGATTCCATTATTATGCCTTCCAATGAGGCACCTCATTATTACTCGGCGTAAGGGATTTCTTATATGTTCATTGTTATTAGTTGGGTTCACCACTATAATGTCCTTATCCTTTTGATCAGGCATGAAAGTATCAATTACGATATCTGACAAACGCATTACTCCGATTATAGAGATTATCACTCGTTGATTATAGAATCTTCGAGCTCTACATATATTGATCTTGGTATTCTGTTAGGAATGAAAAATGCATGTGGACTTTTATGCATGTTATTATCTATTTGATTCAGGCTTTATGATCGCTTCGATAACGTATGGTAGATCTCGACATATCTATCCTAAGCTATATCTTATCAAAGACAGCATGGATATTCTTCGTAGCTTTCATTCTCTTCCAGCATTACGAAGGAAATAAAAGCTGGGGGCAGTTGATGGACCATATTTTGCATCAAAGGAGAGGGCCCCACATCACATGGGTGTATCATAATAGGACCCATAATTTCTCTTCTCAAGGCAACACAAAGCTGTCAATCTTTCTAATTGATCAATTGGAGTCCAACACAATTTTTAATACCTGCAAAGACACGTATCTCAAGAATGTATCAATTCAAGGAGTATGACCTCTCCATGGTAAGTAGCTCTCCACTTTTTCTATAAAGAGGGGTGAATACCCAAAGGTAGGGAGACCTAAGGTATGAGCACCTCGGTCTCTAGACTCCAAACTCCAAACACACACCTTTGTTCACTTTTTTAGTTTTATACACTAGTTTATTCATGTATTGATCACAATACTGACTTAGGCATCGGAGGGGCCTCCCCTGGCTCAACGCCAGGGGTCCCTCTAACATCTCTCTGATTTTGCAACTCATGAATTGGATAATATTCGAAGACTAGGGTCGCACCTTCAACATTTCAGTGATTGTGCGAATTTTTGCCCGCACAATGTTCACCACTGTGACATCGACCTCTATGGCTGTTGAGAGTGGGAGCGTGTGAGAAAGGCTAAAATAAGAGGGTGCCTTAAGACCTAACCAATGTCATGGGCTGGTTTCAATCTAAGGTCCACTTGACTAAATATTGGGTGTAACACATGATTTAATAATCTAATAAGAACATCTCTAACAAGGTTTTGTATTTTAACTATCCAAAAGTGTACTTTTTCTATTTTAGCTACTCACTTTTTCAATACATACTCCAACAAATTTTCTATATTTTAACGACTTCTTTTAAATATTATTTCTCATATCTTATACCTTTGTTGGGACTATTAAAGGGAGAAAGAGAAGAAATGGAGGGAAAGACAAAGAGTGGACAAGAGAGGTGAAAAATGACAAAAGGAAAAAGAATATATTATAAACTGTTTATACATAATATTACAGTGATACTCTAAATACATAGCATCACTGTAGCAAAAATATATTTTATTTATGTTGAGCATGTTTTTGCCCTTTGAATAGCTAAATTTTAGCTATTTTGGAGTTTTGGCACAGTTTTAAAACCCGGCCCGGACATTAACCCGGATAATGGACCGGGTCAATGGGTTACTTGTTCAACTGTTGGACTGGTAAAATAATAAAAATAAATAAAATAGGCTAAAAAATTACAATAATTTTCTGATATGAACATCCAAAACCAAAAAAACATCAATAAAAACCACCAATAAAAAAACCCAACAAGTAATAACATCTCATTCCATAACATCAAAGACCAACATATATCTAGATTCAAGCTTAAAATTTTCTTGTATCAACAACATCCTAATATCATTAAAAATATAGATTAAGCTTACAAAGCTCTTACATCAACAAATGAAAATAATCAAAAATAGAGGCCATAATTCTAGGTTTTTCGGTGGCTTCACCACCATCACAATTATAATCACAATCAACTTTGGATTTTCACCAATACAAAAGGATAAGAAAACCAATGTATAAAAAATCAAAGATTCATTCAATATATAAAATATATTATCAATCAAAGATTCAATGTATATATAATACAAATCAAAAATCAGATGTAGCAAAGTCATACACCAAGAGTCAGAGAGTAGATAGAACGAGAAAGAGAAAGAGTATGATAGTACCTGCTGCAAGTTCTTGGTGGTCGTCGTCAATGCCTCGATAGAGCTTTGAAGCAGCTTTTTCCTTCGAAATCGAAAGTTCCTTCCACTTCAATTATTCGATCGAGTCCCTTACTGGATGACTTACTCCCTTTTGTACTCGTAGTGCATACTACTGCCGAGTGCATAGACTAGAGAGAGAGAGAGAGACGGAGAGAGAATGAGGCTCATGCTCCAGTGGTCCACCACTCCATCGATTGCCAAGGAGGTTGAGGCTGGGTAACAATTTAGGGCAAAATGTCCAAAAGCACCAAAATTCTTTGTTTTATACTAAATTCAATGAACCGGATGGTTTGATAAAACTCCCTCGGGTTAACCGGGTTTTTTTCGATTTACTTCGATTTTAATGCATAAACGACCAAATAGATGAACCGGCCCACCAGGTCAACCGGTTAGGCTGAGCTAGATTTTAAAACATTGAATTTTTCATCAAAAAAAAAAAAAAGTTTTAATCCTCCTCTTGGAGATGCTTTAAGAAAATAATAAATAAGATAAAATAAAGTTTGTTTCCTATCATGTAGGTGGATATATATGATATGAATAGGTGATTATGAGTTTTAGTGAGCCTACTTGTTAACTTGTTTACCTCTTAATGGACGGTTACACAACGTTGCAATGCTGACATAGTATAATAGTTATACCAAATATATATATATATATATATATATATATATATATTTGCTTGAAGGGCATAACGGTTACAGTATACCAACAATGTTGATGTGGTGTAATCATCTAATAAGAAAACTACAAAATAATAAAATGTGACTCATTTTCTATCATGAATGTGATTGTGCATTACAAGGCGTGGTGGTTATAAATTTTTATGGGACTCACTTATTAATTTTTTTAGTTATTAATGAACGATTACACCACGTTATATTATTGACGTGGTATAATGGTTGGACCAATATCAAATTTGAGGGCATTGATCCATTTGGACAAACACCTTATCTAGGGGTGTCCATGGGCTGGGTTATCTATGGGCTCCCTTTACCCGGCCCGAAATCCGATAGGCCCGAAGTTGGCCGGCCTAAGCCCAATATCCTTAAAAAAGAGTGCTTGGGTTTGTCCTCAAACCCATTACCCAACTCAAAGCTCAATCCAAGAGCCCACCCACCTGCCTACATAGCCCGTCTGCCCTTCATTTAAAAAAAAGTTATACTTTTAGACCATTAAATTTGAAATTTTAAAATAAGTCTCCTAATGTCGAAATTTGAAGTTTTAAAAATTTAGATACTATAAATAATATATTATTTTATTTTCCATGTATTAAGCATACAAGTTTTAAAGGGTAGAGTAATGTAAATGATAAATAAGTGAGTAGGTGTTAACCAAGTTGGGATGTATTCATTCTATTAGATGTAGTTTATCCCCTAGTTAAAAATAAAATAAGTTACAAAAATATTGGACTCTATTTTTTATTTAAAAATATAATTTACACAAATATTAAGCTACAAAAATATTTATTATTTTTAAATAAAATTGTATATAAAAAAAACTTGCTCACAGGCCTGCCCAATACGCTCATTGGTTAGACTGCGGGTAGGGTTGTTAATCAAACTGAACTACTCGAGCTTGGCTTGAGTTCGGGTCGGGGTTGGGTTCGGCTTCGGCTCATTCAAGCTCAGTTCGTTTTCAAAACGAGATCGACCTTGAACAAGTTTTTAGGTCGTTTAAAAACACAAGTCCTACAAGCTTGGCTCAAACTCGACAAACTCGGTTCGTTTATGTGCAAATATTCAGGTTCGGATTATTTAGGCTCGATTCGTTTCCTAAAAGAGCCAAACTTGAACAATTTTTAAAACTCGATTAAGAAACAAACTTTTCAAAATCGGCTTGAACTCGACTCGGGTTCGTTCGACTAACAGCTCTAACTGTGGATAGTCTATCCTTACCCGAAGCGCGGCCCGTCTCGTCTGATGACTCACTTAAGTAAGGAGTTGGACCTACACTACCTAGACTCGATCACAAAAAAATTTCGTTGGACTAACCCGATCCGATTCATGGGCACCGCTTAGGGGCCCTAACCCTATCGTCTCTAGTTGCATGGGACCCAGCAGATAACTCAAACACAGGCAGCGACCTAGTCTGATAGATAAAGGTGAGAGGAAGCAACCAATGGCTAAGGTTGCAAATACCCAAATCTATGGCAACTTCAACGCCCATTTCATCGTCTTTCTTCTCCTCACAAGCTCCAACAATTTATCGTCAGAATCAGCAACTCCCATTTTTCCCTAATCATCATCCAAGAAACCGAACCTCCCAAAAACCCTACTCTTTCAAGGTTCAAGCCGCCAAGCTTCCTACTGGAGTATGTTCTTTGTTTTCCTATTTCTTTAATGGGTTATTCTTGTCTTGATCTTTGCTTGATGGGCTTTAGCTAATATCCAATTGAGAATATAATAGATTGAATGTAAACCTTAACAAATTTAAAAGATTTTAAATTAAATATAAGTAGAGTTGTTGTTTTAAAAAAAAAAAAATGACATAAGGGAACATTTGGTATTGGAATTCACAGGTGGAATTGCCAAAAGTAGAGCCGAAATTCAAGGCCCCTTTTCTTGGGTTCACAAGAACTGCTGAAGTATGGAACTCTAGAGCTTGTATGATTGGTCTCGTTGGAACTTTCATTGTGGAACTGGTTAGACTACTCTGAACTTTCATTGTTGTAATAAAATGTTTTTTTTTTTTGGGGTCATTTTTAAGCTAATGTTTACATTTTGGGTTTTTCTCTCTCCAGATTTTAAAAAAGGGAATACTACAAATTATTGGGGTGGATATCGGAAAAGGCCTTGATCTTCCTCTATGAACCCTAAATTTCACTACTTGGATACATTCCTCCTATTGTGTTGTTTGTAATGTATTGTTTAACTTTTTTAAACAGAGTAACAAAACTACTAAAGCCTGTAATTTATGACAGCATTTTCAATATGGCATTCTTAATTCTCCTTTCTCTCTAGCAAAATTTCTTGTGGGTAAGATATCGATTTCTCAATAAAATCACTTCTTTTGATTGCACGAAAAGTATCTGGTTTTTATAAAAAAAATTCCATTTCTTAGGTTGGTTTAATCTTTTTGGTTGTTCCTGAAGGTGGGGCAGGTGCTGTGTGTTCTGCCCTTGTCTTTAAGCTCAGTCTGATCAGATAAAATTCTTATGTGTAAATGATGGTTAGGTATCTTCAATGGTGTAACAAACTGTGGAATGCCCTGGTCTTTTGCCATATGAGCAAATTTGAAGATGATTATGCCTGTCTGATGAATATAATTCGGGTTACTATCCACTGTTTGATCTTTTTATTGAAGTAATTTTGTAGTAATTCATACCTATTCTACATCGCATAGTTGAAGCATGTCTCAAATGTTCAATACTCGTAAGTTTTGGACTTTTATTATACTATGTTTTTCAAAATGTTTAGCTCAAAGCGGATAGACGATACAGGTCCCAAGTGTTACAAATGTACCCTCACTTCAACCTTACACACTGTAATCTTTTGCTCATAATCCAGAAAACTTCCTGTTCAACAAAATTACTATGTATGCTCCAGTCCAGATCTCTTTTGCAATATGCTTTCAAGGGATTAAAGAAGGGATCTTATGCTATAAGGATAAGAAAGTTAAGGACATAATTATGTCCCCCCATGGTCTAGCATCTCTTTTCTTTGCATGCTGATGAGGATAGCTCATATTTTATTACAAAAGCCACCACCAATCTTATTAAAATTGTTTATTCATTCTCCTCTAAGGAAAAGTACAACACTCATACAATTTGAGAGATCAGTGTCAAGTCATGAGTTTTTGAGAACTGAGTCTTCAGTTATGTGTTTTTCAGTGTCTCTGAAAACTCAGTCCTGTGTGAGTTATGCCTGAGCATGCACCATAAAATCGATCAAGTAAATTTCACGAACATTGGGATAAAATTGATCAAGTAAATTTCACGAACATTGGGAAAAGGGAAACGGGTGGTTGTCCATGCACTTTTCGGATATGAAGAAAATATATTCCAGTGCCATAAAGGCGATAATATCTTATTTACTGGAGATCTCTAGACAGATAAGGAAACCCTCCATATATCAACTTTTTAGATTTTACTAGAATTTTTTATGCTAGGGATGTGCAAAATGAATTAACCCAATGAATTAACCCAACTCACTATCAGATGCATTTTAAACTGTAAAATTCTTGAGCACGTTCCCTAAACATGTGCAGTGATTGATCAAAATATCCAAAACAGGGAAAGAAAGATGAACTAGGTATACCGGGTAGGATAAGAAATCTTAACATATTTTAAAGTATATTAAACTTCGAGTATGCTAACCTGCGCAAGCAAACAGTGATAGGAACAAACCCCAACCAGAAGCAATGCATATATGCTCTCTTTTTTGCAAAAATGAAAAAGAGTAGGGGGAAAAAGGTGAATCAAATGTTACACCGCTATCTACTCTTAAAGCTTAAGCAGATAGAGGGGGATGTAATATACATATTATTATGTGGGTTACAAAAGCCATTAACTAGTACTTTAAAACCTCAGCCGTTGTCCCAAACCTACTCTCAGTGGAAACTTATCTTTTCACCCTCTCTTTCTAGTTTCTCCCCCACTAAATCCCACCTCCTATTTCCACTGAGACGTTTGAACAATGCTGATCTCCCCATATCTATGTTCCGTTCTCCTGTGCATATTGTTCTCTCTAATTGGCATAAGTAAATCTTCCACAAGTTTATCTTTCTTCTGATTTATGTATCTGTTTCTGTGTCCATCAAACAACTGAACAATTTTTCTTTCTGTTACTATTTTTTTGCAGATGGGACTCAACTCATTCTAGTAAACAACTGCCAGGAAAGCCTATGGCCAGGATTACTCGGCGGTGCAGGCCACCCAACCCCTAAAGATGGTGGTTTCCTCCTGAGCAGTGGCCAGGAAACTGTCATTGACATGCCTGATAAGTGGTCAGGGAGGATTTGGGCCAGGCAAGGTTGTAACTTCGACGAAAATGGAATAGGCAATTGTGACACTGGAGACTGTTCCAGCCAACTCCACTGCCGGGGCATGGGCGGTGCACCACCTGCTACGGTGGTGGAAATGACATTGGGGTCATCAACTTCTCCCCTACATTTCTATGATGTGAGTTTGGTAGATGGCTTTAACTTGCCAGTCTCAATGAAGCCCGTTGGGGGAGGCATTGGTTGCGGCATGGCATCATGTGAAGTTGATTTGAACATATGTTGCCCATCTGCTCTGGAAGTTAAGGTAGGAGAGAGGGTTGTGGGGTGTAAGAGTGCATGTTTAGCTATGCAATCAGCTAAGTATTGCTGCACAGGGGAGTATGCAAACCCGAAAACCTGTAAGCCAACACTTTTTGCTAATCTGTTTAAGGCAATTTGCCCAAAGGCTTACAGTTATGCTTTTGATGACTCTTCAAGCCTCAACAAATGCAGGGCTTCGCGGTATGTAATTATTTTTTGTCCTCCCAAATGAGGGGTGGCATCAAGAAATAAAGGGTCTTAATGATGTTTGTGATATAGTTACCAGTAATGTGCACTTGGGTTTGTAGATAGGTTGTTTAAGTACTTGTTTTAGTATTTGTGAGGGTGATATATTTTATCCTGTTCATTAAGATCATTGTATTAACTTAGGTTGAAAAAAAGTGAAAAAACAAGGAGTTGTTTCCTCAAGTGCTGAACAAGCGCTTTGACACTTGGTGTATATCTAGAATTTATTTGATGATTAATGAACTGAGACTTAGATCGCATACGTATTAACTAAATGGAAAAATCATACCAATAGATCATTGCTATAATCTAAATCAACGCCACCATCTGTTACCAATCACCACGCTTGTTTGCCAGCACAATCGCCTTCCATACATCTTACCTATTTTCCTTGCAAAACAATTATTGTACATTCCAAAGTCAAGCAAAAAAAAGAAAAGAACTTAATCGAAATGATCTGGAAAAAAAAAAAAATCCTATTTTATAGCTACTTACACCCAGATGAGAAGTACCAATTTTCTCAGTGTCTTTGAGAGATAAGATACCAGGGGCCTTGGACAGAACTTCAGTTGCAAATGTTCAATAATTTGGATTTGGCACCTCTGCTTGTATGCAATAGTGGAAGGCCTGTCCACATTCCAGCAGCTGTTCTATAGGGACAGTGCAGGCTAAAAATCGTAGATCACAAGATGCGAAAAAAGGTTAGAAAACAAAACTGTGCTAGGAATTGTTCACTTGCTACAAACACATGCTACCAACAAACCAAATCCTTCTCATTATCTCTATCGCAAGACCAAGAAGTAATGCAACAAAGCTCGTAGCATTCAAAGCAGAGTTGCAGAACATCCAAGTAATAATGTGACAAATTTACCAGGTACTTGCTCTGTCTAAAACGCAACAAACACAAAGAAAATTCCAGTTCATTCTCAATCAGAAGGAATCATTTACTAAGTGAAAAATAAAACCATCATTCGCCAAAAAACAAAAAATCATTAGAGCCCACGGTTATAAATTCATGTATGTGACGCAAGTGATGGATCAAACCTCAAACATTCAACTCTAAACCCGAAAAAGAAAGGAACAATGGGTTCAGATGTTGAAGAGATAGCACGTGAGGAACAGGATGTACCTACTTATGCAGCATCTATACCAGTACCAAATGTTCAGGAAATGGTGAAAGGGGACCCTTCACACATTCCTGAAAGATACGTTAGGAACCAAGAAGACATGCCCAAAACCACTTACATGAAATCTCTCTCCTCCAAAATTCCTGTGATTGACTTATCACTCCTCTCAAATGGTCACGAGGAAGAGCTCAAGAAACTGGATCAGGCATTGAAAGAGTGGGGCTTCTTTCAGGTAATATTAAAGTTCATACTAGCATGATCCCCCATCTGGAACCATTTTATTATCTACACTAGCCTATACCAGTTAAAAAAAGAAGAGGGGTTTGGTGTCTCTCCCTTTGTTAGTAGTAATGGATAGTCTATTCCTATTAGTTAATTTATAATCAATTTCCCTAGTATAACTACCCACTCTCCATGACTCAGAGTCTGTATCTCATATGTCTTTCTTCCCTAACCATCTCTCACATGTTCGCCGCACCTCTCTCTCTCTCACACACACCCAGCAACCAAAAATGTTTCATATATGAGTTACACACACATTAAATTGCAAACGCAACGTGTGTGACGTCTTAGTATTGGGTTCATATTCTACAATTCTGGCACTCTTTTTAAATGTAAAATACATTGCAGGTGGTTAATCATGGAGTGTCAGAAAGAGTGTTGCAGGGTATGAAAAATGCTGCAGCAGGATTTTTCAATCTCCCATTAGATGAGAAGAATAAGTTTTCAATGCCCTCCAATGACATACAATGCAAGGGTATGGGCATGCTTATGTGGTCTCTGAAGAGCAGAAGCTAGATTGGTCAGATGCACTGATACTTGTTACTTTCCCTTCCAAGTTTCGAAGACTCAAGTTCTGGCCAAGCACACCAAAGGACCTCAAGTATGTCTTGCAATTATGTAAAACTACAGCACTGAAAAAGTTATATTTCGACAAAGTTACTATAAAATAAAGGGTATGCTACAATTAAATCTGATGAGGTTACAAAAAAAAAAAAAANGTCTTTGAGAGATAAGATACCAGGGGCCTTGGACAGAACTTCAGTTGCAAATGTTCAATAATTTGGATTTGGCACCTCTGCTTGTATGCAATAGTGGAAGGCCTGTCCACATTCCAGCAGCTGTTCTATAGGGACAGTGCAGGCTAAAAATCGTAGATCACAAGATGCGAAAAAAGGTTAGAAAACAAAACTGTGCTAGGAATTGTTCACTTGCTACAAACACATGCTACCAACAAACCAAATCCTTCTCATTATCTCTATCGCAAGACCAAGAAGTAATGCAACAAAGCTCGTAGCATTCAAAGCAGAGTTGCAGAACATCCAAGTAATAATGTGACAAATTTACCAGGTACTTGCTCTGTCTAAAACGCAACAAACACAAAGAAAATTCCAGTTCATTCTCAATCAGAAGGAATCATTTACTAAGTGAAAAATAAAACCATCATTCGCCAAAAAACAAAAAATCATTAGAGCCCACGGTTATAAATTCATGTATGTGACGCAAGTGATGGATCAAACCTCAAACATTCAACTCTAAACCCGAAAAAGAAAGGAACAATGGGTTCAGATGTTGAAGAGATAGCACGTGAGGAACAGGATGTACCTACTTATGCAGCATCTATACCAGTACCAAATGTTCAGGAAATGGTGAAAGGGGACCCTTCACACATTCCTGAAAGATACGTTAGGAACCAAGAAGACATGCCCAAAACCACTTACATGAAATCTCTCTCCTCCAAAATTCCTGTGATTGACTTATCACTCCTCTCAAATGGTCACGAGGAAGAGCTCAAGAAACTGGATCAGGCATTGAAAGAGTGGGGCTTCTTTCAGGTAATATTAAAGTTCATACTAGCATGATCCCCCATCTGGAACCATTTTATTATCTACACTAGCCTATACCAGTTAAAAAAAGAAGAGGGGTTTGGTGTCTCTCCCTTTGTTAGTAGTAATGGATAGTCTATTCCTATTAGTTAATTTATAATCAATTTCCCTAGTATAACTACCCACTCTCCATGACTCAGAGTCTGTATCTCATATGTCTTTCTTCCCTAACCATCTCTCACATGTTCGCCGCACCTCTCTCTCTCTCACACACACCCAGCAACCAAAAATGTTTCATATATGAGTTACACACACATTAAATTGCAAACGCAACGTGTGTGACGTCTTAGTATTGGGTTCATATTCTACAATTCTGGCACTCTTTTTAAATGTAAAATACATTGCAGGTGGTTAATCATGGAGTGTCAGAAAGAGTGTTGCAGGGTATGAAAAATGCTGCAGCAGGATTTTTCAATCTCCCATTAGATGAGAAGAATAAGTTTTCAATGCCCTCCAATGACATACAATGCAAGGGTATGGGCATGCTTATGTGGTCTCTGAAGAGCAGAAGCTAGATTGGTCAGATGCACTGATACTTGTTACTTTCCCTTCCAAGTTTCGAAGACTCAAGTTCTGGCCAAGCACACCAAAGGACCTCAAGTATGTCTTGCAATTATGTAAAACTACAGCACTGAAAAAGTTATATTTCGACAAAGTTACTATAAAATAAAGGGTATGCTACAATTAAATCTGATGAGGTTACAAAAAAAAAAAAAAATTGGGTCGTTTAGGATCAATCCTAGAATATGAGGAGCGATCCCAACTTTTCATAGTGGTGCCTTAATTTGAATTGTAATTAACCCTTATTTTGTTATAAATTTCGGTGCATTATCATACTCGAACCAAAGTAAAACTACTGGAACACTAGCAATTGGTAAATGAAACATCATTATTTAATGCAGAGAAATCATTGAGACTTACTCAACTGAAGTGAGAAGAGTGGCAGAGGAGCTCCTAGGCTCCATATCTTTTATTATGGGGATGGAAAAGAACACTCTGCTTACCGTACACAAAGAGATGATACAAGCTTTGCGGATCAACTACTATCCCCATTGCCCCAAGCCTGATGAAGTACTGGGCATAAGCCCTCACTCTGATGCAAGCACCATAACCATACTATTGCAAGAAGATGATCTCAATGGGTTACAGATAAGTCATGGTGGAGAGTGGGTTCCTGTTGAGCCTATCTCAAATGCTCTAGTTGTCAATGTTGGAGATGTTAGTGAGGTATTTTCTTAGATGCTGTTCATTATCTCTCCAATCCCTTTCTTGAAGAACTTGCAAGATGGGAAATCTTCTAAACTCTCAAAGTTGCTTGAATTTAGTTCCTGAATTTTTAAAATCGTCTTAATAGGTGGTTCCTCTACTTTGAAATCATGTGCTATTTCTAGAGACAAAGTAAGATACCAAGTTTCAACAAGACAACCTCATAATCACTCATTTTTTCTTCTGAAGCCTCTATCATACCTTTTCTCACCTTGATTGTTGCAGATTTGGAGTAATGGGAAGTACAAGAGCATTGAACACACAGCTGTGACAAATGAGAACAAGGCAAGGATTTCTTGCATCATTTCTCTTCCCACAATGTCGAAATTGGACCATTGGATCATATGGTAGACTCCCAGGGATCCCTTAGGATGTACAAGAATATCAACTATGGAGATTTTCTCAGGCAATCCATGAAGAGAAAACATGTGGGAAAGGCACACAATCAAATTGTAAAGAATGAAACATAAGTGCTTATTGCTACTTCCAACACCCTCTGTCAATTGGTGAACAGCATAAACATTTATAGAGCGGGTTTGAACGAGTCAAAATTTACCCACAAAGCTACTTTTCTTGTCACTCTATTCGACTTATGTGATTTAAATTGCCGTATTACTATTGCAATGAAAAATCAACTTGAGCAATCAACTACAACCAAAAATAATTCATGTATCATACATTAGAAAGCGGAGGTTGTGGTGTTTAAGAGCGCATGCTTAGCAATACAATCAGCTAAGTTTTTTTGCATTGTGTTCAAAAAATAGCCAAGTATTGTTGCACAGGGAGTATGCCTATTGCTAAGTTTAAGAGCGCACGCAATTTGCAAATTTCTTGTAGTTAATATGCCTAAGAAAAATGTTATTTAGACTGAATTTGAGAGTTAATTGATTAATGACTCTCAAAGACCTACAGTTATGCATTTGATGACTCTTCCAGCCATTAATCCAGAAGCAATGCTATTGTGACTTACTTTATTTCCATCAAATATTGGAACTTAATGTTGATCAAATAATTTCAATGAATCTACGTTATTAGGTTAATAAATTATGTCAGATTTTTGTGTCAATGGTTTCTGGGAAGTTCCCAATAGTTATCATTAATATGCACTTTGATTGTAGACAGGTTGCTTAAAAACTTCATTTTTTAGTATTTTATGAGGTGATACATTTCATCTTATCAGTGAAAAATTATTCTTCCTTCTATAGAATTTATTTTTGGGTTGATTATGACATATGTTCTTAAAGTTTGATTTCCAATGTTTTAATTGTTTCATTTTGGCTATTAAAGTATCCACTTTGTTGTTATTTTGGAATCAATAATGCTTGATTCAGATTTCTTACTAAGTTTTCTATTCTAAGTGATGTGACACAGTTTTTACCATCAAATAAATGGGTTCTATTGATATTCAGTGATGGAGATTATACCACATCATTTTGGGATGAAAAAATAATAAGAAACTTGATAAACATAACATTATTGTTTTGAAATGCATCCTGAGTGACCTTTTTTTTTTTTTGTTTATGAAAGGGGTGGGGATAAGAAGAACGCCCAAAGACCATCACGATAGACCCTCCTTAATGGGATTATGATGAGTAAGTATTGAATATAATGGTGATACCATGTCACCATTGATGACATGACATCACCAACCAATAATAAAACCTCAAGTGCGTAAGGTAAACTCCATTTGAGTTTACATAGAGGAAAAGTGGAGAGTTATTTACTTACATGGCTAGTTGGCTATTATTATTATTTTTTGTGGGGCTTATTTACTTATTTTATGATATTATTAGTTGGTGATATCACATCACATTGTTATGTGGTATCATTGTTATAATGAATATTTTCTCGATTATGAGGCCTCTGACAGCACACGTTACTCCTCTCGAAAACAAACTTAGTTAGGCCAGCATAGCGGTCAACCATTGAGTGGGGTGTTCTAGTAGGGTATCGGTTGAACTTATTACCCTGAAATTAGATATTCGAGTTTTGAAATCCACATTGAAGCTCGTCATAAGTGATTTTTCAATTACTAGTTAATGTACACATACGTTGCATGTGGATTATTTTGAATAATAAATAACATATATCATTCTCTTACAAATAATCAAATATGACATTAGCAAAAGCTTTGTAAATCAAGTTCCCGAAAAAATTTATAAAAACTTAAAACACAAGGGATCTCAAATTAGAGTGATTATAAATAGCCAGTAATTAGAGAAATTCATGCTAACTATTACACATATAACAAAAAATATCAAAAGATGAGTGATAGGCAATGAAAACTATAATACATATTACAAATTAAAGATCGGTACTCAGTAATCATGTGTGTGTGTGTTAGAGAGAGAGGAGAGATTGCCTCTTAGAGACAACATCTGTAACTTTAGAATGAGCTTCTTGAGAGACTAAACGATCTTTTTCTCTTCTTTTTTTTTTCTTCTACTTGCCGCCTCTATCAAAGCAATCAAAGCATCCTAACTCTCTCTTTAGTATCTGTCAAGCAACATTATGAATACTTAAACACGAAAAAATAAAACAACATTATAAGAGTAACTTTGTGACTTTAGAATCGCTATTAGTAAGAGGAGTAGTTAGAGACTTTCACAGTTACACAAGTATAGATTTTAGTTCAATCAAAATAAATTCTAATTTATGTCTGAAAAGTATAAATTGTAATTGATATTTTAAATATGGATATGTTGAATGCATATAAATATTTATGTGTAGAATTCATAGAGTCACTTCGTGACCATTTAAAACCATTATTTCATAATTTTAAGAGCCTATAATTTTGAAATTACGGTAGTTATTAGGTAAAGAAAATTTTGACTCTAAAATATTAAAATTAGGTAAAATAGAAGAATATTTTTTTTATTCAAGATAGTTGGTATTTATATAGAGTATAGTATATAGAGATAAATTATAAGATTAGGATAATTGTATAGTATTGATATTTATTTTAGAACCATACAACAAAATATAATATTGGAAAGTTAAGTCATATTTTTTTGAGGTGGTTGAAATCGATTCTAAAATTTTACAATTGAACTTAACATTTATGATCAATACTTATTATATATTTGAAAAAAATATATAACTTGACATCTGAAATTTTATTTTTTTAGGATCAATTAAAATGTTATGATGTATTTTTTTTGGTAATATTTGTATCCAAAAAAAATATAATTTAACACACAAATTTATAGTTTTTGATATGGTACTTCATCTAGTATATTGTCTTCTTATACATAATAAAATCTATTCAAGGGTAAATTGAATGATTAACTATAGAAAAATATAAAAGTAATATGAAAAGTTAACTATAAATGGATAGAAGGGCCTTTATATTATTTTATAAGGACAAAATAGTCAATCAAAAAATTTTCATGTTAAAATATTTTTATTAATCGTATAGATTAACCATTTCAAACTAAGTTTCGTAGCCTTATCCAAGTTCCATTGTTGGATTTGATACTGATGATACTAGGGATAAAATTGTCACGTAAGTGAGACCCACAATTTAGCAAAAGAACCATCAAGTGGAGGAAGAGTCCCAACTTACTGGCTAGCAAGTAGGTCGAGACAGCCCAGCTCGGTCAGAGGTTGAACCCAGGTTAGCAACTTCTCAAATGAGCTCGAAGCAATTTGAGCTACAAAGAGAAAAAATATAAAAAGTAAAAACTCAATACTAGATCCCATCCACAGACGAAATCATCAATACTAAAAAGTCACGTCATACCTAAGAAAATGTAATTTTTAACAGTCAAATATTTCCTCTAATATTCTAACAAACTCGGAGATTACCCCATGATTACTTGAAGGACACTCTATTAGCTAGTATAAATAGGCAAACTCTTGTCTTGTAGCAAACAATGAACATTGGTGCACTAAAAAGTTATAACCGTCTTCTTCTCCACCTAGTAATACAAGTTGCAAGAGCAAGAAACTCCATTAAAATAGATTAATCAAAATTTTCAACTGGTGTACCACGAATCCTTATGTCTTAGAAAATTTATTTGGTTACTTTATTTATTCACATTCTACAACCCACAAAATCTACATATTCATATTAGCAGAGGACTCGTCAGCCTCCTCCTCTCATACTTGTAGATTTCTAGCACCGTCATATTCAACTGCTTATACCCAATAATTGAAGAAGGCATATCCACATCAAATAAAAGACAAAATCCCCATTCTCTTGAAAAAGAAAGAATAATTAGAGCCCATGGCCATATGACTAGAAACTGGATCTTGCATTGAAAGAGTGGGGCTTCTTCTTTCAGATAACATAATTACCAATCTAGTTGCATTTCCTTAGAGAAAAATGTCACTGATATTGGTTTGGATTGATCTCAACATTCGATCAGGTTACAACTCAAAAAATTAAGAGCAATTCTTAAACTAATTACCCTCTTTTTAAATTACTTACCTATGCTACATTCAAACACTAAAGCACAACTAAGATCAAGGGGCGGATCCAGAATACGATGTTAGTGGAGACAAAATATGACTAGAAAACATATCGGTTGAAAAAAAATTAAGTTCAAGCATGACACAATATATTAGGATTTAAGACTGAAACAGTTTATGAAACAATAAAATCAATTTCTATCTATTCTGAATGAAATAAGAGTAAAAATCACATATATTAGCTTTTTTTAGTAGAATACAACGATCTTTTAAATCTCAAAAAGTATCTATAATAGAGATTTTAAACTATATTTCTCTGACATTCCCCTTTGATATACACCATTATGGAGTCCGTAATAAAATCTTCATTCAATTTGTTGGGAAAATTAATTCTAATCATAGAATAGAATGCTATTTGGTCAAGATTAAATAGCAATTTTTTTTAAAAAAAAAAAAATAGGGGATGCATGCATAGATCAAAGAGAAGTATTATATAGGTCATAACATTTGGTTGACACATATTTTTACACAATCCAAAACAAAACACTTATTTTAAGGGTCAATATGCCCTTAAGTCACCAAAAAAAAAAATCACTATATAAATTTTCAAAAAGTTAAAGGCAACAATGTGTTAATTGAACAAATTTGTGGGGCATTTATAAGGGTGGTTCAAAAGTCAAGACGACAAGTGCCCTGTCTCAACAAAATGTGGCCCCGCCACTGACTAAGATTAGGTCTGTCAATCGTGTCAAGTGAGATAGATTTGTTTCGAGGTGTTTCGAGTTTTAATATTTTATGTAAAAAAATATTTCACTCATATTCGATTTATTTATTAATTTTTTTTTTAACAAATCGTATTATATTGAGTTCATGTCTTGGAAAAAAAATGAATCGTGTCGTATATTTGTTTTAATTGACAATTCGTTTACCAATTATGTAATAAACAAATTCAAATCTTCTAGTATTGAATTTGTATGGTATTATGTTTTGACAATCTCGATTAAAATAGCACAATAATCATTCCTTGCTTCCAATCATTCCTTAGATTTTAGTCACCATCTTGCCTCTGGTTCGCAGTTGCCGGCACATATCAGCCATATTACCAGCCGGCATTGCGTAATGGGCACTTCGTTAGACCCAATTACACGTTGGAATAGTCGTGCTATTGTTGTCCTTTTTCTTCTGCTGTTTGTGGTGGGTGTTTGTGATTAACGTGAGAAATAAGTACTTCTTTTTTTTTTCTTTTTCCTGGAATGGGCACTAAAGCACAATTTTGTTTATTTATATCATTACGATGATTTACTATTACCACCTTTAGAAATATTCTATATCTATGCAAAAATAAACATTACTATAGGGTTATAATCATTTCATTATAATTTATAAGTCATAAATTTAAATTAATAAAATATTATCTACTTAGTACAATAGTGCATGAATAGTCGTTACGATAGTGAAACTTTTGTGAGATTTATTGATTTAATAATTAGGCAATTTAGGAAAATTTTTAGGGTACAGTGTAACTTTGTTTTTTTGTTATGAGTAATGCTATATGAACTTAAAAATTAGATTTGATAATCTCAATTATTGAACAGGTAGTGGGTCCTAATAAATACTGAAATTCATAATAAAATCAACCATTAAAATTATCAAATCTAATTTTTAAATTTATTTTTTAAATTCATAAACACCTGGGAAAAAAACACAAAACAATATAGGCAACAAAACCGTGCCGACAACGCTCACAAAACGACGCGGTTTTACCGTTAAGTCTTCTTGTACAACCAAGCTTTAAAACCGCCATGTCTCTGGACCTTCCCTTGTCCTTGAGAAAAGCTCTCTCTCTCTCCCTCTGTCTCTCCTGTGGAAGTCTGTCAAGTAAAGAAGTATTGCTGTGTTTCTTTTCTTACAGGACTTGAGGAGAGTGAAAATGTCATACATGTTTTTTTCATTGTCAATTGCATTTTAGTCCTTCAATTTTCACGATCAAATCGATTGTGTGGTTTACTTCGTTCCTGAAAATTCTCCAAACGAAAGCAACCCACTTGAGCGACTGTGGAGTTTCCGTGATTTTTTTTGTGTGTGTAACAATTGAGATGCTTTTGATGGTGGAAAATTGGAAACAATCCGGATAAATTTAGGGTTTTCTGTGATACAACAAATTGGGTGTGAATTCCGCAATGGCATCGAGAGCTTCAACGCATTGTTGCTACAGATGCAACAGATTCGTGAGGGTTCGAGGTCGAGACACGATTCAATGTCTCGATTACAGCGGCGGATTCGTCGAACATGTCGATCGCTACCGTCGATCTCATCTTCACCGATCTCCGGTCAGAAACGAAACAGACCCCGATAATCATCCCACCTCAGACCACAATTCAATCCCAAGACCCAGCCGGAACTGGAGGAACACGACTGTTCAATCCAGTCATCGTCCTCCGTCGCCCCACCCAGTCGAATGGCGAAGCCAATGACAGCCATGAACTCTATTACGATGACGGTGCGGGTTTGGGGCTTCGGCCATTACCCGAAAATATGTCGGAGTTCTTGATGAATTCAGGGTTCAATCGGCTTCTTCAACTATTAACCCATTTAGAATTCAATGGTGTTGGAAGGTTCGACAACCCTCCGGCTTCGAAGTCTGCAATTGAATCATTGCCCACTATAAAGATTTTTTCAGCTCATTTGGTGAATGATTCACACTGTGCTGTGTGTAAAGAACCCTTTGAAATGGACTCAGAAGCTCGCGAAATGCGTTGTAAGCACATTTACCATTCAGATTGCATTGTGCCTTGGCTTGGTATTCGGAATTCTTGCCCGGTTTGTCGACATGAATTGCCCTCTGATGCTTATGGAAATGACAGAGACTCTAGGGAAGTAGAGCAATCATTGGCTTTGAATGATGAGGATTCAGTGGGGTTAACAATATGGAGACTTCCGGGTGGTGGTTATGCGGTTGGGAGGTTTACAGGTAGTAGGAGAGCCGCTGAACGTGAATTAACTGTTGTGTATACCGAAATGGATGGTGGGTTTGATGGCAGTGGTGCTCCGAGGAGGGTTGCTTGGTCGACAAGTGGGAATAGAGCGAGAGAGAGAAGTAGAATGGGTCGTGTCTTTGGGAATTTGTTGTCATGGGTTGGAAGTTTTAGGCTTTCGTCCTCAATGCTGAGGTTGGAGATTGGGTTTAGACGAAGTCAATCCCATTCTGGTATTCATAATAGGTCCTCACTAGGGCACAGAAGCCATTGGGCGTTTGATGATCGTAGGGATACAAGAATTTGATTGTTAAGGGATATCTACTTCGTCCAGTGATGGAAGAAATATCTGGATCTATGCTGATCAGATTTTTTATCAAATTTTTTATTTTAAGTGATTTGACCTAATTTTTACTATCAACTAAGTCACTCTCACTAATATTTAATTATGAAAGATTATGTCTATGCTTATACGTCTTGTTTCTTTCAGGGTGTTGATTTAAAAGGCAAATCTTTTTGTAATATCTCCGCGAGCAATGTCTGACTGTTATCCAATTAAAATTAAGGGTGTTTAAATTTTTCCATTGACCGCAATTCCTTACACTATCCGACTCTATTCTAGCTTATTGAACGACTAGCCGTAAAAATTAGAAAGAAATGTGAAATACTTATCAATTTTCTCATTCTTATCCTACCCTACCATACCCTACCCGCATTAATTAATATATATAGATAAACTAAAAAAGCTCTAATTGCTAACCAACTTGATCGTCTATTGACTAAGCGAGTGCCTCACTCCTCTTTTCTCCTCTTGTCTCCATCTATTTTCATCGCTCAAACCTCTGCCTCCATGGTTCACGCCTTCATCGTTCAGTCCCGACCTCCCCAAATACTCTCTCTCTCTCTCTCTCTGTTTGGGAGCAATCTGGTGGCCTTCATCGTTCAAGCCTTCATCTATAAATTTGATATTTTTTAAGCATCAAGTTAATAAACCTCAAAACCCTAGTTTTTAAGTATCATTCAAGCCTTCTCTATTTTTTTTAAGCATCGTGCAGGCCTTCTCTCTCTCTCTCTCTCTCTCTCTCTCTTTTAATGCTTTCAACACTTATACAGTTAACATCAAACATAAAAAACACCAAATTTCAAGTCTTCAATTGAAATCCAAAAACAACTGGAGCGAGTACCTGTGCTTTGCATTGTACCTAATGGTGTTGTCGGTCCTTATGCGATCCAGTGAGGAATGTTATAAAAATATTTGTGTGGTATAATTTATATTATAACATTGTTATTATTGTGGATGTTTGAGTTGCTAAAACATGAATTTGGATTTTATGTAGGTTACATGATTTATGGTGAACTAGTGATCTATTGGAGCAGTTATGATTTTAATGTGTTTTATATGGTTTAAACTTAAAATAATTGTTATTTTTTTTGTGTAACAATTATGATGGATTGTTGTTCATACTTTCTTGTGTTTTATTGTAATTGTTGTTGTAGTTGTTTTAGGTTTTAGTGTTATTTATTTATTGTGTTGTTAAATTTGTGTATGTTATATAATTAAATTGTTAAAAGAGCCAAAAATTAATAGCTCCGAAAGTGTTTATCTGACTTCCTACCTGATTAATCGGGTAGGAATACCACACCGGATCGGGTAAGATAGATCAAGAAAATTTTTTTCTATAAAGTATCGGGAAGACAGAAGACTATATTTCCTACTACCATAGGGTAGGGTGAACACCCCTAATTAAAACTTTGTTTTGATTTCTCAAATGTCTTTCTCTCCCCCTTCCTTTTTCCCCCAAATTGGGAAAGGTAAGTAATGTGTATGCCAAGTTTCTAGACAAACAAGTCTAACAAGTTTTGTTTGATCGGGTTTGGTGATGATCTCCTCATTCCCAACAATAGACCCCTAAATATTTGACGCCACCTTCGCAGCCATCCAACTAGAAACTAACACGTGGTTAGCCAAGATTGTTGAAATGCATTGGATTCCTTTGGTTACTAAGGTCGAGCAATTGAAGTGCTCAGGGCTGAGGAGCATAGCTAGTGTCGAGTATTAAATAACATCGATGTGTGAACCTTGAGCGATAGTGATGTGACAGGTTATCAATGACTTTCTAGTCCATGAAGAACTCATGAACAAGTGTCAAACTAAGGAGCTGCAACCAGCATGATTGAGGGGTAGCCCTTGGGGGATCCTATGACCCTAGCTTTTGCTCATAAATGCTCGGCAAGAAGATACAAGCATTTAATTAGAGCACCCAATGGTTAGGAATGGAGTCATAGATGCACAATCCACTCTAGCGTGAAAACCGGAACATCCAATCACCTAGATTAATGAGGTGTGACAGAATATCACTTATTAAGTATGCTAGGCAATGAGCACAGACTACTAAAGTCTAGGATTGGAATCCAAATGGGAAAGACATCATTGCAATTCAAGGTATAAATACCCCATCGAAACAGAACTCAAGTATGCAAGCAAGAATAGCTCTGTACTGTACATACTCTCATACTTTGGCACCGATTGACTTAAGCATTAGAGAGGTCAAGCGGGGTGCACACTTGACCCCTTTTTTTGACCTCATTCCCTGTTTTAGGATTCATCATCGAGCTCACCCAAAAAGCTGTTATCTCAATCCATTGCAAAAAATCACTCGTGCAATTTGGTGTCGTCTGTGAGAGGCACTTGAATCAACCTTCCCCGTAGCACTTTACTATGATGACCACTCAATCTCAGAATGAAATGGGACATAAATTTTGTGTGATAAACATGAGGATTTTCCCTCTCTGGCGGTAATAGAATCTCATTCCTTGGATCTATCAAATAGAATTCGGTGAAATTCTCAACACACCCTGCTAGGGGACCAAAGTTTAGGAAGGCATGGGGTCCTTGCGCGAGAGATAATGGACCTCGTGAAGGAATGGTTAGGTGGCCATTTGTAACAAATCGAACAAGACAACATCAATGTACTTAATTGACTAGATGATTGCGAGCGATCAGAAGAGATCAGTCGATGGAGCAAGAGGAGGGAAAGGTTGTAGTGGCGGGCAGAGGCAGTCCCGCGCCCTTTCTTGTGAGATGTCAAATCGAGATCTTCGTTATTTTGACTGGACCAAAATTTGGAATCATGCCTTGAGAATGACCCTGATAGAAAGAGAAAGCGCAACGTGGCACTGTCGCGCAAAGACCTTCACCGTAGACTTTCGGGAGTAGCCAATGGGGTGGGGTTACACACGGATTCAACCATTTCGGTAAAGGACATGGGAGACCAAAAACCCAAAAGGGGATGCCCCTTAAAAGATCTTGGTGTTAAAAAATTTTCATATTAGACTTTCGATAATTGATAGTTAATTTTTAGTTTCTGAAAAACATGCTAAATTTATGGTCTAATGAGATGATTCCAATATTGTTAAGTAATCTATTTTGATGGGTTTATGTACATTTTTTTAATTGATATGGTTGAGGTAGTTAAGTGTATATCTAAATCTAATTGTGGCCCGTAATAGATAGAGCTCATTAGATCCATTATAAATAGCAAGCTAAGACTTTAGGTCCCTCTCCACCTCATACATTAATTTGACTTGTCTCATTGAGAACCGTCTATTGCTTTGAAAAAGAAGAGAAAGATTTTGCATTTCTGTGAAAGAAACTCAGAAATCGAGTATCATGGGTCACACATGTATGGTCTAAATCTATATGATCTAAATCTTGTAATTTAAGTATATTCTAAATTTCATATATGAATCGTTAATAAATATTTATATGTGGTATCAAAGCCTATTATATATAAATTTAGAACCCAATAAATTTTAAAATTTATATAAAATTTGACGGTTAATTTTTATCGAGATTATCGTTAAATTTCAAGTTGCCATCAATGGTAGCCACGGCTGAAATGGGGGAACTTTGATATTGAAGTTTGTTTTGTTTTTGCAAGAGGCTGAGACATGTAGAGCCTTGGGATTCCAAAGTGGGTTGGCTGAAACGGCGGTGGTTATAACCCAAGATTCGTTGCCATCAAAGCCAAACCAAGAGATTTGCTTGGCTGCCACCTTCGATGAATTTTCTATTTTTTTTTCTTCTTGAAAGTACAAGTCTTATACATTAATAAGCACCAACGAAGAAAAAAAAGATGGAAGAACTTTTGACTTGCATTGATTAAATTCCAATCTGTTGAAAATATCTTCGTAGCCTGCAATTCTTTATTATAATACAAGTCATATTTGGTCAATCAATTAAATAATTATTAACTATTTGTGGATTATGTTAATGAATAAACACAATCTTTGCTCATACAAATTATTGATATCAATCAATTGTTTTATTTATTTATTTCTCATCTTGATATAACCTTGATTGAATTGCCATAATTTGTAGAGGGTTTGTACAACTCCAATCCTAATCCCTAGTGATTTACACGATATAATTTTTTTTATGATCAATATATTATTTATTAGTACTGATAGATGTGAATTTAAATTACTTAATTTTAATAGTAAAAATAAAATTGAAATTGGAATGCAATGATCGATGATGAGTGATCTTTAGAAGTACATGTTGGTTAATACCTCATATTGATTGATCACGTGATATTTAATTATGAATATTTGTTATAATATGTCAGTTTGAGAAAATTCTATGGATTAAGATGGATGGTTGCCACCAAAGTGGTTCATTCATTTAAATTTGTAGATTGTTCTCATGTTTTTGTTACAGAATGGTCTCTAAATTATAATATATAATTACCTGTCTAAAAGGGATTATTGTGTATTATAATTTAGAGATATCATGAAATATTGTGTAAAAGGTGCAATAGTCTAGAGAGTTTGTCTAAAGGAGATAAGATTTTCGAAACTTGAGTATTCACATTGGTTAGTTTTATAAAAGAACCTATAAAATATTGCATTTTCTGCCCAAATGGGAGTTTTTAATAATGTATTTGAACTTTCTTAATAAAATATGTCTTATTATGTTCAATGCATATTTTATTTATTTATTGTCTAATTTTACTAAATGTTTGTATTCTTTTGCCTTGAATAGTCTCTTTTGTTGTGAATAAAAATAATGTTAACATTGAGGTCTTGATTGATTCTAATTATAAAAGATAAAAGCAAGATATTGAATTTATCCTATGAATTGTTGAAATTGACTTAATTTTGAAAGAGAATGAACCTCCTAAACCTACTATTGAGAGCTCCCATAAAGTAAAAGAACTTTATGTAAAGTGGAATAAATCTAATCGGTTGAATATTATTGCCACGAAAAGGTCTATCTTTGAACATCTTATGAGTAAATGTCAAAGA